CCTCCACGCCTCCCGGTTCCTCAACATCAAGTTCACCATGGACCCGACTTGGAACTTGGACCCCAGTCGAGACTCCAAATAGTCCCGTTCCTGTGCCCACGCCTCGCGCCTGAAGAGGGTGTGTAGAGCGCTATCAGTCTCTGCCGAGCGATCATCACTTGGGTGAGACGATAAGTTATCTCACCCTGAGTCCGGTCCACCCACCTGTCCAGCCGATCGGGTCCTATGAGGAACCAAGTCGTCGTTTCCTCCGAGAGGCGAGGCCGTCACCGGAGCATGGTCATCCGCCTGAGCGCTATCCAGTCCTCAGGTTCGAGGAACCGGTTGCGTTCTCCTCGGCGAGCAGGTCGGCGGGCAGCAGTGATGACAAGATACCCACCGACACTCCGGACACCGTTCGGTACGCCGAAACTGTCCGGATCGCCGCCCGCCTCTGCACCCTCAAGAGTATCCGCCCAAACCGGGGACCCGTACAGTAGGACCGAGTGTACGACGCTGACTAAAAGTCTACGCCGCATCTCTCTCGGCCCTCCCAGATTGAGCATGAGTCTCGCCAGGCAATTCATGACTTTCTGGGCCCGCTGGGCCGCACGTTAGTCGTGCGGCCCGAACTTTAGACGTTTGTTNGGCCCGAACTTTAGACGTTTGTCTATGACAAAGCCCAGTTAAGTCATGAAGTCCTTAAGCGGGATCTCCACTCCCAGCACGGCGAGCCGTGGAGGAGTGAACTTGTACCTGCTTCGGTCTTGACCAGGGCGAAGCTAAGTCCGCTCCCCTCCTGCTGGATCCAGGCGGAGACTGCGCTAAGCGCGCAGTTTNGTACCTGCTTCGGTCTTGACCAGGGCGAGGCTAAGTCCGCTCCCCTCCTGCTGGATCCAGGCGGAGACTGCGCTAAGCGCGCAGTTCGCACGAGATCCAGCCTCCTCGAACGAGGTGCCTTCCGCCACCACCAGCGTGTAGTCCGCGTAGCAGACGACGCGCACGTGCGGTTGGGTTAATTNCGCGTAGCACGTGCGGTGGTAGCGGATAATTAAAATGCTGTGCACTTGCGAATATCGATGTCATAAAAATTCAATTAGCTACTTGTATTTATAATCCCTTGTGTACTATACATGTATATTAACTCAACATTTTGAAACTTTAAATGTTTATATCTAATAAACTAATAAAGTTATACATAAATTCCAATGTCACAATTTAATAAAATTTGAAAAGTTTTTATAAAAACCCAAACATTTTGGGTTTTGAACCACCCTCGTGGCATTTTGGCTATGTGCGTACAGCCAACATTATTTTGTTTTTTTCGTGTGTGTCGTTTAATAATGTATTAATTCAGCAAGGCGTCGGCTATTTCCGGGGCCGAGATCCCCATCTTAGGATGAGTCCCAATCGGGACTGGATATCGTATTTTATTTTATTTAATATATTGTTTTGAGCCCTTTTTCTATTTTAAAGTTATTTTTTTTATGAGCTGTATATAATTTTAGCTATAATTGACAAATACAAGGTTATTGGTCAGTAGTGTGTCATGTATATTTAATATATATATATATTATTCCCGCAGAGCCCAAGTACGGTCCGGCCGGTCCCAGATTACAGAAATTATCCGCCG